CGATTGCCAACAGAAGTGATTATCATACAAAAGTAAATATTTTATTTGCTTCCCCGATGTCAATTGCGTATTTGCATTTGCTTCACCCTGTTGTCCGCCACCGACAGAGGTGACGGAGAAAACCCAAGCGGCCATGCTAGAGAGCTATGTCTCTACTATGTCTCAATTTGCTCACCACTTGATGAATGGGAAAAAGATGGGGCTCACAAAAATTGCATTACTCCCAATTCTTACCTCTTTCTTGGAAAATATAAACAAGTATACCCAACAGGGCAATATGCCAATTTTTACCTCACTTTTCTTTCCTTCCAAAATAGGACAAACGGTTAGAATTAGTAAAAATGGACTAATACCCATTTAAGCGAGTTTTATCTAAGTCAGATATTCAAATTTTGAAAAAATTTTCATAGAAAGGGGTTCTACTAGTTACTAATATGAGATCTCAGGAGGTTAAACTTCCCCGCCTAACCTTAAATTTTAACCAAAAAAAAAATTAAATAGGATATCGAGCACACTCTTAGTGTTTTTCAATTTTATTTTTTATAAAGTTTTATGTTGTTTGGATCATAGATATGTGAAAGAAAAAATAAAAGAGGATCATAAATATTTGGTATAAATTCATTAATCTCGCAACCATGTTAAAAATATCAATTAAGTCCTTAAATAAAAAAAAAAATTATTGAGCTTTTGAGGTTTAACGAGCGGTTGTGTTTACACATTTGTTATATATAGAATCATTAAATTTCTAGGATGAAAATGTCCTTATAGTAAAATTAATCCTAAAATGTTCTATTATTTTTTTTAAAATGGCATTCAATAACAAACAAACCCTGCCCCACCCCCCCCTCCCCACCCCCGGCGGCTTAGTTAATCCATTGCCATTCCAAGCCAAGACGCCCAAGACTCTCTCCTTCACCTGTGATCTACTAATTTATCGAGTGCATAAATTCGGTTCGTGCTCAGTTTGTCTCAGTTGGAACTGAAGCAGAATGAATACCATTTCAGGGATAGTCGTAAGACACTTTAGGGGTTGTTAATGCTAGGGTTATTAATGGAATATATTTTTTTAAAATTCAAATATAATTCATTTATTTAAAAATTTTAATATATAAAAGATTTGATAAGTATAATCTGATTAAAAAAGTTTACAGTTTAAAACAAAAAGAACCAAATATAGAATTTGTTTCCCTATGCCTGATTTGATTCTTTAAAATCTTTGAATTTAAATATTTATTATATATATATAATAAATATAATATATAATATAACATAATATTATATATATATATATCACAATATAAACTTGATTGAACATATTTTAATAAATAAATTATTTTTCTTAAAAATAAAAATTAGAAACATATTTTTTATATAACCAAAAATGAAAAATATGTATATTGATAGATTAATAAATATTAATAAATTACAAAATTTGTAATTTTGTGACTAGTGGGGGTTTATAAATAAATTCACAATATTGTTTAGCTTGTCTAATACATGTAATGTTGATTATTTAACCAAGGGGTTAACTGATTTGTGTTTCTTTTAGGGGCTTAACTGATGTTTTCTACAGAATTCAAGGGGTTAATGAATTTATCCCTAAATATTTTATAAATAAAATAAATTAAGTCCATTTATTAAAATGGCTATTCTATTCTATCTTTGTCTTCACTTTCCCATAATATTTTCTTTATAATTTAACAAAGGTTAACAAAGATTATAATTTAGGGAGTTTTTTCATCTTTTTCTTTTATTGGGCGGGGCATAAAGAGTTTTTTTTTTCCTCCAGAAAGAATTAAAAATAATAATGCAATTCAACAATCAGAAGATGAACAAAAGGACGAGCAATTTCCAACCAAATGCATATGCCATCCTTGCGGTTAGCTATAAAGAGCTTTAAACTCATGGGTTTTTAGTTACAATGAGCTATATAATTGAAATATTGATCTAATTGACCGAATTTGATTGATTTAATTTAATTATCAAGAGGACAACATTGGTTTATCATAATAATTTTGTATATATAAATTTGATTCGAATTTTTGAAAATCAATTTTTAATAAATTCACCAAATTATTATGATGTAAATATTTTCTTATAATTGTAAGTTCAAAACTCGTTCGTTAAAAAAAAAAAAAAAGTTTAGAGAAATATGTTTGTAAAGAGCAAATTTAAAAAAGTGTATCTAAAAAAGTAAAATTTATTATTGAACTACACACGAATGATGAAAATAGGTTGTAAAAAATACCTTACTTAAAATTTTACTATATTATTTATTCAATGTTTCATTGCTTAAATAAGGGTAATTTTGCTATATGAATAAGTTCATAGAATCTAAACCCCAAGGTAAGTAAAATAATAGACAATGGTCGAAGCTTTTGTTTCAATTAATTTAGGGTGTGTTTTGTTTTTTTTTTCCAAAAAAGATTTTTATTAAAAAACTTTTAAAGCATAATATAATATTTGGATAAAATTTTTACAAAGCATTATCTAAATTAAATTCTAATTATATTACTTTTAAATAAATCACTTTAAAAAAATATCAAATCCACGTTACACCACTGGCTTCCACTCCAACCCTAGTTTGCTGATTGTCCGTGACCATCACCCTCCACTTTAATCCTGACGGAGGGAGAAGAACCTGGCTGAACATGATGACCCCTTCTTTTTTTTTTTTTTTTTTTTTTTAGTGCTCACTCATTTTGAGCAATTATGATCATTATTATTATTATTATTATTATTATTATTGCTACTCCATCGTAGAAGATACACATGAGACGTTGAATTATAATAAAAAAATATTGTACACTTTTAATAATATCACTCATGTGCAAGCATCTCCACCGGCTCTATAAAGCTAGACATGACAGTGAGAGGTCATAAACTTATTTTGATGAATACGTAAGGGATTGGAATAGAATAAATTGTTACAAATCCTATATTAAATAGATTGAATAAAAAATATTAAATTATAATAAAAAATACTGTATATTCTAATATATTTATCTTTTAAAAATGTATTCGATTGGGATAAAATGTAAAATAAAATAAATTTATCTTGTTTCGTCTAATGTTTGATATGCATGTAACAAAATAGGATAATGACTATGAGATGTATATGTATCGATATATGTAGGATGGTGTTACATGAGAAAAGAGGTGTGACAATTTTATCAGCCTTTATCCAATTTTCTTTTTTTCTTTTTTTGACCAAAATGCCTCAACTATTCACATAAAAAAATCAAATATGACAAAATTTTGAGTATTCACAAGGATAAGGATGATAAACAGTGCTCACAAGGATATTTTATGTAAAAAAAATTTTTTATCTTATTATTTTTTATCTTTTTGGCTAAATGTTATCAAATATTATATAAATATTATATAATTCAAATAAAATTATTAGTCTTATCTTATTTATTTATATCATATCTCTCTGACCGAACGCAACCTAAGAAGAGAACAACAGCATGCACCAAGTTTTTATGAAATTTTTAATTTTATGACTCTTCATTTCTACTTAAATGCAGCCAATAAAACTATTTAACCGATATATCAGTACCAAAATTAACTTTCACCAAGCCGTGGTAAAAATTCCCATACTCTATGGTATCGTTCGTTTTGGGAGATAAGACAAGATATGATAAAATTATTCTATCTTATTCCTTTTTATCACGCGTTCGTTATGTTTGTAACAAAATGAGATAAGGTGTTCAGACAACATATTTATCAGCTTATGTGTAATAATCTTATCTTACGATGGCATAGAAGATAAAATTTATCTCACTTCCATAATAATTATTTTTGGACAATCTTGCCCATTTTTTGCGAACCCTCTACTCTTGCAAAACTATTGCTAGTCTCTCTTTTGTGAAACCCACCACCATCGCCCCTTTCTTTTGTCTTGATTTGTAAGTACCTACGTGAACAAGTGCCAGATTTTCAGGCACCTGTACGCAAGTTTTACAGTCACAAAAAAAAGGTGAAGATTATAAAATTAAGAACAAATTAATAATTTGATTCATTATCTAGATTATTATTAAATTACATCAAATAATGATAAAAAATAATTATTATAAGAATGAAGTAAATTTTATTTTACCTTCACATCGTTCCTTATTTTTACAAGACATTCGAAACTAATTATTCTAATATCAAAGATTCAAGGCGCTGTAACTGATTTGACAGTTCAAATGATTCAAAATACATGACTTCAAGGCTTAAAAAGGGCATTAGTGGCCGTCATCATTTATGTATACGTCCGAGGTGTTTTGGACATTCAACTATCTACAAGATTTTTCATGAATGGACGAGGAAAAAAAGGTAAAATATACTTCATCTCCTAGTCTATTGTTAAAGTTATACTTATTTCTTAAAATATAAATATTGGTTCAATGTTATATTTATAATTTTAAAAAATTAATAATATTAATATAATAGAAATACTTTTCAATTAATTATAATTTTTTAAATTATAATATAGGTTATTATTTTATAAAAATATTTATTAAATTATTAGCAATATACATAATAAAGACCGAGAGATGTTTTGATAATTTAAATAAGTGTATTAACTGTGTTTGTTATTTTTAACTCCAAATATAAATTTAAGGATTAAACTGGTAATTTTTGTACTTAAATTAAATGGACAGTGTATTATTACAGCAATAGTTCAGAGTAAACTGTATTAAAAAAAAATAAAAAAATAGAGAGACAGACTGACTGCCTCGATGATCATATAATCCCTGCAAATTATATTCACGGGCATAAGCCGCTTCGCGATAAGAGCTGAGGTAAGCTCTCTCTCTGGAGCTGAGGGCAATGGCCTTTTCTGCCACCGGTTCCTTATCTCGCTTCTCTCTCTTTCAATCGGCCCTACAACCCTCCTCTTATGCACTTCCTTTTCTCCGTACAATTCAACCCAAGGTCCATTTCGTTGATTTCTTCATTTCCAAATTTCACTATCTTAGACCCGAGTCTCTTTTTTGTGATTCTTGCAGTTTCGGAATTGTTCTCGCTTTATCTCATCGTCAATGGCTTCGGATTTAAAAGAATCTCCTTCCAACAATCCAGGCCTCCACACCACCCTCGATGAAGCCACTAAAGGATACTTCATGCAACAAACTGTAAGTTATATATTGTTCAATTCTCGCCCACCGTAATTATGGGCAATTGTATAGAAATGCGCGCAAGATTTACAATTGTGTCGTCTTTGTTGTCAGAGAAAAGTTTGCTTAATTACTTGTTGACGATTTATTTGACTATTAATTTTGTTTTGGTTTTTTCTCCAGATGTTTCGCATTAAGGATCCAAAAGTCAGTCTTGATTTCTATTCTCGCGTATTGGGCATGTCGTAAGTTGTTTCTTCTGAAAATTTTGTGCTTGAGGGTAATATAACTATCTAATGCTGATTAATAGATTGAAGATGTCCTTTTGAAGAATAATGGTGTTTTTGCTTGCTCATTTGGGGGCGTTTCCTTTGATCAAATTTCAATGGAGATCTCAAATGCGTAATACAGTTGAAAATCAGAAAGTTGATTTCTAAATGGTTCTTGGTGGGTTTTTCCATTTTCTGATGGTTGCGTACTTTTAGGTTTAAAGACCGTTCTATATCTCATGACCCTTTTCTATTGTACTTGCTTTGGAAAGCTCAATGTTGTCATACATAAAACAACTTTTGGTGCTAAATGCATTTTGTGACGTGAAGTGGGCAAATGTTGGTCTGCCTAACTTCTTGATGCCACCTTCCTTGTCACAAAATCTTGCATATGGTTCTTTTACATAGTTCAAGGGAAGAACAACTGAGTCACTGGATTTCCTTTCATATATTCCTAATATTATTGTAGGGATTGCCATCTTTATTTAATATTCTTCAAAACAGAGTGAATATATTTTATAGTTTGGTTGATTTGGCTAATTATTGACTATTGTGTTAAATATAAAATGCTATCTCTCCCAACCATTAAATCAATCTTCTATAAGATAATACAATGAATGACTGTCAACCAATCTGGCTACAATTTGTTATGTCAAGTTTGAAAGGAAATGTGACAATTATGGCAAAAAATATTGTTCTCTCGTATTTTATCTTCTTATTTCATATTTTAGCTAATATTTTTGTAATTCAGTCTACTTGTTTTTGGAATTTCTAAACTGAAATTAACTTGGAAAAACCTTTTTTTTTTTTCATTTCAAATTCAAACTGAATATGATGGATATTGGTTCACTTGCTTTACTTAGTCTAAACTAAATAAATTGGACCACTTGGCGAAGAATTTGACATTCTGTTAGATAGATTGTAAAGTGGAAAAAGTGCCCTCCATCCATACCCTGTCTTACTCTCTAGCAGGCCCTTGTTTGTTTGATATAAAGATTGTGGAATTGGGGCTTTTAGCTCTAGATTTATTCTCTATGTCAATAGCTTATTATTGCTTATGAGGAAGAAATAAGTGACATAAATCTTTGGACTTAGGCCGCAATAGAATGAGATTTCTTTGAAGACCTGGCTATATCTACTATTCTGAAGTTAAATTTTGATTTTAGTTTCTTCCTTAATGGTGCAGGTTGCTGAAGAGGCTGGATTTTCCAGAAATGAAATTTAGCTTATACTTTATGGGTTATGAGGTACAATGTAAAACATCTCTTCTGTGTGAATTCATCATTGTTTCCAATGCTTCTACTAGACAAACTGTGTTTGTTGTCTGTAAATTTTAATTGGGTCAATATTGCTTCTTTCCTTTTGCAACCTTTTGTTAGTGTTCTACTAAGGGCATATTTGGTGTTGGTAGATTAGGTTAGATGAGGCAAGATTGGGCAGCTCTTTGAGAAAAGTATTCTATTTGCATAGTGTTTTGGATTGTTATCCCTCATTTCGTACATTTTAACCAAGTCTAGAGAAAATACCCCCAATAAATACACAAATTACCAAAATATACTTACTCCCCTGCTGACAATGCCTGCCGCATGTCAGGCCACCAAAGCATCACTGCTAGAGTTGCCCCCCAATTGACTAGCGAATTGATTGTCGCTATTTGTCGTTCTTGCCTTGGTCGTCATCTGTTGTTCATCCTTCTCCAGATTGACACCTGCCTACAACCTATCGGCAAACCGACAATGCCTGCCTGCACTTGCAGGAGGCACAGAAGTGATTCTAGATCAAACGGTGATTCCAGCCTTCTCTAGATCAAACGGTGATCTTGTGCAATGCTAGATCATTTCTGTCGGACAGGGATCTGCAGATCTGCTCATCCTTGTTTGATTCTAGATCTGGGATTCTAGATCTGATCATCCTTCTTCAATTTGCAAAAATTGGAAGATGGTGATCTTCAGAGATCGAATGGTGATGGTGATCTTCGAGCGATCTGCAAGGTGATGGTGGTGATCTTTTTTTTTTTCTTTGCTTGGAAGGGTGACAGCAAATAGCGAACGACAGTGAACGGAGAAAGCAAAGAAGGAGGAGGGTATATTTTGGTAATTTGGCATGTGAATAATAGGGACAATCCAAAGAATAAAATTTAAAACCCTAATTAAGTATAATAAACTTATCTCACTAAGATAGTTTATTTGGATTTGGTAGGATACTTATCCTGCTTGAAGTTTTATCTGTTTGCCTTATCATATGTACTGAACATGGGATATAGTTGGATATTTACCCTTCTCCTTATCTTTATCCAGCCTTTTCCAATCTGACGAGCATGCCCTAATTGTTAAAGATTGGGGGGTTTTTATTATCAAGAAATGTCCTGGACATCTTTCTCTTTTTCTCTTTGAAACCTGATTTTCTAAGTTTTGTTCCCGATAAATGTTCTAGATTGTTTTCTTTCTAGTTGGCATTGCCATTTACAAAGAGGTGCAGGGGACCATAGATGTAAATGATCTCATATTCATTGTAAGGGTTCTGGGAACCTTGATGTTTGTTTTTCTTACATATAAACCTGGTCTTCCCAAACTCAGTGGTTGATTTGATTGGCAGTTGGAATGCGGCTGGTGATAGTTTTGAATAGGAATAAATTAGGAGGTGAATTTTTGTTTTATTTTTCTTTTCCCTTTACTGGCTATACCTGAATGGCTAAATAATATTGTATTTTATCTAAATTATTCTTTTCGGGTGTGGGGGTACCTGGCACACTGGATTGGAAGAGAGCCCATGGAGAATGAAGCCTGTGGCACACTTTATCTTCCCCTGGTTGGAGATTGAATTGATGACTTGCAATATTTTCTTATATAGGATAGTATAACTTGTTTTTGATACTTAATATTTAATAATAACCAGATATACTTGAGCTGGTTATCCTGTTTTAGTATGTTAAAATTACTTATCCCATAAGGTTCTTGATATCTTCTTCCTCTCTACTTTTTTTGTTTAGGATACAGCATCAGCTCCAAGCAATGCAGTTGATCGTCTTGTTTGGACATTTGGTCAGAAAGCTACAATTGAATTGACACAGTATGTTATTCTTAATTTTTTCCTTTTTTCCTTGGAATTGTCTTTATCACTCTCCATGGTTTCTCTAATCACTTCTATTGCCTATCACCTTTAATGATTCTCATAGTAATTGGGGTACTGAAAGTGATCCTGATTTCAAGGGCTACCATAATGGGAATTCAGAACCTCGTGGCTTTGGTATGTTACTCTCATCTGTTGACTGCACGCTGGGAACACCTCCTTATGCCAATATGTTATTTATTTTTTTCAACAATAGGACTACTAGATGGAACATCTAATTAAATTATTGCACATCAATCAATATAATTGAATGTTTTATGTGTTTAAAGTATAAATCTAAGATTGTGACTTGGTTGGTCTGATATAATTTGGTTCCAGAGCTAGGAATCAGTTTGGATTTGATATAGCTAAAATCAAGCAAACCACAGCCCCTGGATTCAAATAGATCTATTGTATGATGTTTGTGTTTCCAATCATGAAAAGCTCCCACTCCACATGAAAAAAGAAAAGTAGTAAACTGTTAGACTTACTGCTTCTCAAATGAGAAAAGGATCTAATTCTCTTAAATTTGATGGGACTGTAAGATTTATGATTTTGTATTGTATTTTATAATTTTCCTAATTCTTAATGGGCCGAGTTGGATGAGACATGATGTATTTTTTTGGTTTGTGGTTGCATTTATGTGTAGTGAGATCTCAACTCTCTTTATACAATCCAAAAACTTGATTTGTCATTTTTACAACAATATTAAGGCTTTTCAGATAAGTGCTGGTTTTTTTGCGGGCAAAATTATGTTTTAGGACCCTCTTGTAAATTTAAATATATAGAAGGAATAAAAAAGTTAATATTATGTTTTGAGACCATATAACAAACTAAATATAAAGAAAGACAAAAAACTCCTTGGATTCCACCCTTCATGGCCAGGTAGATCTTATCCGTTGTCACTGCTGCCCTTCCTCAACGGAGAGGTGGATGAAGATAGTTGAGAGGCATCTCTTTACCTTCTCACTCAAAAATAATACCCTGCCTTTTCAGACTCCAATTCTTTTCATCTGTTGCCAATTCGCTCCCACAACACAAGCATAAGCTTAATCTCGGGATTCATGATGGGTTAATTTGTTTCCCGTTTGAAGATATTCTCAATTTAAATCCATGCTCAAATTTGAGCAGCTTGGTGATATTATTATTATTATTATTATTTATTATTATTTTTTTAACACTTTCCGACCAAATCAAGATTTAGGTTTTCAATTCTTTCTGCTTTTCTTGATTGGACATTGAAACAATTTGAATTTAATCTTATATCTTTTGATTTTGTGACTCACCTCAAATTTTTGAGTGGCTGCCAATGCCACTAGTGGTGGCAGGGCAAATGATGGTGGCTCCCAATTCCAGCAATGGTGTGCTTGCTCTAGCCATGCTAAATGACAAGGCCCTACTTGTGATTGGGGATCTGATCACATTCACTTAATGCCCCTTGTTAGATTTGCCCATGGTGATAGGGTCTTGGACAGAAGATTGGGCCTTGTTTGTTTAAAGATTTAACTGGATTTGGGTTTAATTAAACTTGGTTGAATCCTCTCTAAACAAATAACCAAACACTCTGTCTAAATTCATTTTCTCCAAATCCACTCTATCTAGACTCATTTTCTTCAAACCTACTTCATTTAAATCCATATTTCTTAAATTTACTTTTCCTAACCCCACTAAACCTGCAATTAAATGAGAGCCTAACAGTTAGGAGAGCCTAAGGGAGAGGGGGGACAGGGATTTGCCAAAGCTCAAATTGGGAAGCAGAGAGGAAGGTGGAGAAGGGGGCATCAGAGCTGGGCTCCAAGGACCTGTTCAAAATGAGTGGGTATATGGAGAAAGGAAGCCTGCTTGCTGGTGGAGGGTTTGACTGATGGCAGGGTAGGGGAGTAGGGTAGAGTGAGAGAAGAAAGATGATGGTCCTGAAATTGAACTTTGTCCCTTTTGGTTCTTTGTTTTTTTTCCTCTCTTTTTCATGGCCAAAAATTTAATCTTCCCTTTGTTTTTCCTTTGTTACCCAATATTTGATCAATCTGGCCTCCCTTATTATGCTTGCAGGACACATTGGCATTACTGTTGATGACACACAAAAGGCTTGTGAGAGATTTGAACGTCTAGGGGTGGAGTTCGTGAAGAAACCTGATGATGGTAGACTTCTGTTTCAAATTTTCAGATTATGTTATTACATGATATGGTGCTTCCTCAATAATATCTAATTTTTAATAAAGGTTTCAATGTGAAAGAATAGTATTTCCATAATTTGGCATTTTGCTGGATGTATTGTTGGATAGAAAATAATGATAGTAAATATGATTTTTGTGTTTTTTAGAGTAAAATCAGAAAAAGTGGGGGCATGCATAGAAAGGCTTTTAAATTGCTCAGGCATCCTCATATTATTATGATGTTAAAAGGAACAATGAGACTGGGTGTGGTTATTCTCATTTTCTTAATCTTTTCATATTGTTTGACCACAAACAAAAGTATCACTACCCAAGTCTCTTTATTTCTATCTTGCTCTTGGTTAGGCTAGTCTTAAATATCAAATTAGATTCTCCTTTACATAATTAAAAGGTTCAAAATTTTTTGCTAGTTCAAGTACTTTTTTTTTTTTTTTTTTCCTTGTGCCAATGAAGAGAAATAATTAAGCATATAGAGATTGGACCTATGAGAGTAGCAATTCAATAGCAGCTAACTAGTTAACTAAGAGGTGTGGATGAAGGGATCAGACATACTGAAAGAAAATGGATTAGAGTGAAAAAGATTGATATCTCTTGTATACCAATGTGCACAGGCAAACGCCATGCAGGAGTATGGTTGAGGCCTACTGCTCATGTTTCTAGTTGTGTCATGAATATGCTGCAGGGATGCATGGTTCCCCCAACTTATTTTTTTCTTTTGTTTTTTGTTCTTGCTATTTATTTATTGTACCGTTTGCATTTGGACATGTATATATGGGTGTATCTATTAGATTCCCTCAATCACAACATTTGCAACTCAAATCAACTCAGCAAAACCTTGTTCCGACTATTTGGAGATCAATCCAACTATATGGGGGATCAAGGGTCACAGCACATTCCAAAGGAAAATTTGTGGTTTGATCACATGTTTAATATCATTCACTTTGAAAGATGTCTGCATTTCTGAGTTGAATGGTGTTTGGAGTTTATTTATTTATTTATTATTTTTTTTTGGGGGGGGGGGGGGACATCCTGATGTTTTGTAATCACTAAATAAATAAAAGCATAAATGGTTTGCAACATTTTTTTTTCTTGTATTATTGTCATGTCCGATCTTTGTTTTCAAAGTTGCTTCCAATTTTATCCTTTTCTTTCTAAATCAGTGCTTAATTAATCAAGATTGCATGGATATTTAGTGATGTGGTAGCTCAAGAAATCTTCCCAGGTGATAGTTGTCAAGGCACTTTATTCACTGCACTTTTTTTTTTTTTTTTTGCCTTTTTTTTCACTGATTGCATATTTTTCCTCTTCCTTTTCCTTTATGTTATTTATTTGGTAAACACCTTTTGTTCTTCAGTGAATAATGTTTAATTAGAAATAATTTGACTCATTAAGTTTGCTTTGCTACTGTACATACTTATCTCATGTCAGCAAACAAATTCTGTTATTTGAACCAATTGTGGAACAAAAGAGTTAATAAAACATTTGAGAATGGAGAAAACATCACGAAAAAAGTAAAATATATATAAGGTTGAATGGAGAAATTGATAAATGAAAGGGATAAAGATTGTGGTTGACTTGCTAATGTATTCTTACTAAAGTTGGTAATCCTTTTATCAAGTCCAATAACGTTCTTCACAAATTTTGCATGAAAATTATCCATTTAGATAATACAAGGCCAATACTTGGAGTAAGGAAGTACCAAAATTGCAATTTCAATGTTCACTTTAAAGGTACAGTCTCTAGGTGTTTGGCAGTAGTTCTTTTCCCCCCTTCTTTTCTGTCTTTTTCCATATTAAATAGGACTGGCAAAAGTTAAAAAAAAAATCTTACTTAATTGTTTGCCTTTGATTAACCCACGTAGATATCTATTTGTGATTCCTATAATTCTTTTCCCTTTCATTTATCATGTTCATGTATTAACTATTTGATAATGCCACAGCATATAGTAATTTGGCTCAAATTTTCCCTTTAAGTTGGTTCACTACTTCAAAGTTTCTTTTTTTGTTCCATATTCATGAGAATTAAAATTTTGATTTACTTCAATTTTCACCAGTTTTTTAATTTATTTTGATGTTTTCTCTTAAAATGACCTTTATTAACTTTTTATTTTCTTTATTTTTGATTTTTTTCTAAATTTTTGATTTTTAATTAAATTCTGTAATATTTTATTCTTCATATTGTTTTTAGGGACTGAACACCACCAGTGCATGCTTATAATGTGTTATTTTTGCTCAATTAATCCTAATGCTTGGTTAAATTGCATTAGGTAGCTGATAGCACATAGAATTGATTATTAATGAATAATAATCCTATGAGGAAGTAATTAATACTTGGCGATTTCTTTGGTAGCTGAAAACTTGGTTGCGGTGATAAATGAGGAACTTGTCTCATATTTGGGACAAGTTCAGGTAAGGAAGTTAGTCCAAAGTATTAGGCTAGGTTAGCTATTTGAAATATAGTAACACTCATGAGGGAAGGAGGGGCATTGGTAGATATAATAATTAGAAGAAAAGTAAATATATCATGCTTGCAAGTAACTAAATGGGTAGGAGGTAAAGCAAAAGAATTATAAAACACTTGATATGGCTTCACCGTATGGCAAAGGTAGACTTAGGAGTGGAGTAGACAAAATAATTGTTAAAGATTTAAAAGATGTCATAAATGTAACTGGAATAAGGGATAAAATGGTCCTAAGTAAAATTGGTTTTTGGAGAAAATTTACTTAGTGATATTAGTGCTTATGCTCCTTGGGTTGGATTATATAAAGATATTAATAAATAAATTTAGTAAAATATGGATGTATTTGTGTTTGGAATACCTCAGGAGAACACATATCTGTAGCAGATGTCAATGTTTATGTAGGTAAGAATTAAGCAATGTAGCATCTCACCCCACATTGGATTGCAAGTGTGAGAGAGATTGATTTCTAAGATTCTTTAAGGCCATACTAGATAATTTGGGTTTAAGAATTTGGGATAGATGTTGGAATCAATAAGTTGCTAGGCAAGTGGTTCTTGCGTCATTACAAGTTGACTGTGAGATAGTACATGGGGGACATGGATTTCGAAATAGAACTGAGGTTGGAAAGGCAATCTTGGGTTTTGCAATAGGTATATAATTTTATAATATTAAACATTCGATTTGGTTCTGAATGTGCATAGTAAAAGATGTTTGAGTAGAAAGAAAAATACTAGAATTTCAAGAATTAGTTGGTGGAATTTTAATGGGGAAAAATTGAAGGCATTTAATGATAACAATGCTAAAAGAAGACATTTGGGATTTGGAAGATGAGACAAATTTGATGTGGAATAAGATGAATGAGTGTATGAAACAAGTAGCAAAGGTTATTGGACAGTCAGAAGGAAAGGGACCACTTTGTTAGGACACTTGGTGCTGGAATGAAATGTTCAAGATGTAGTTTAAAGTAAAGACTAAATGAGTTTGTTATAGAACTTGGGAAAATAAAAGAAACTTCTTGAAAAGTATAAATATGCTGAGGAAGTAACATGTTCTCCCTGTTTCAAATGATGTCTGATTCTACTCTTGTTGAAGTATGTGGCTTGTTTCAGGCATTCTTGTTGGAGGTGCATAACTTGATGCACAAGATGATCCATGGGTGATTGCTACTACCCATGTGGAAAGTTGTTAAAATTACCAAAATCCCTCTAACTAGAAAATTGGAGAATCAGCATAGTTAGTTGAAGACAACCATAAGCAACTATAATGCATAACCATTTTATTCAAGGTCCCAAGTGGATTAAACTTAGCTTTGGCAATAAAGGCTCCTTTTCTGTAGTTATCATACACCCTAGTAAGCTGGGCGTCATAGGTTTGGATCATGAAAACAGCCACTTTGCAAGATTTTGTGCATCTGTTCACCAGGGGCGATTGGAGCCTTGTGCACTAGGCTGCCCATAGCTGTAAATTTTATTTATTTATTTATTTATTTTTATTTATTTTTTTTGTCTCCACTGTTTGACAAGGCTTGTTGCTTGTGTTAAATATACAATGCTGATTTCAGGTAAAATGAAAGGAATAGCATTTATTAAGGATCCTGATGGCTACTGGATTGAGATTTTTGATCTTAAAACAATTGGAAAGGCTGCTGGTGGTGCTGCTTAATATTTGTCTACTTATATTTTGTGTAAGCTCTCCATAAACTTTACCTCCCCCACCCCAACACATATGCATACGTGTATGCACAAACATATATCTCTCTTCTGAATATTTTTGATTGACTTTTGGGGTCTTTATTCAAGGTTCTTGCACATTCCTTGTGTTAAAATACTTAGATGGTTAATCCTTTTCATTGAAAGGATTAGGATTCATAGTTTTTATACAATTTAGGATTTTTTTTTTGATTGATGGTAAATTGTGTTTAAGCATGAATGATCAGTTTCATTATTGAGTATTTATATTATATTTGGTCATTTTAAAATGTTATAGTTATAAATATAAAAGAATTCAAATTTTTTTAGCTGTCTCTCCACCATGTCTATTTCCTAATTTTTTTCAAAATTGCTGTGTTGGATTGTCCGTGACTGTGTCCGTGTCTGTGTTGTGTTGGACACTATGTCCGTGTCCGTGCTTCTCAGGTATTCCCATAATTGGGAGTAACTTAGTTTATGCTTTTTTTTTTTTTTTTCCGATCAAATATGTTTGCTTAACAATAAATATACATGTAGAACTTGGCTCCATTCATTCCCACTTTTCTTGTGCTGCTGCTCTTGTGACTACTTGAAATCCCTTTTTTCTGCCATTTCTTCCTCCTCTTCTTTTAAATTTCTTCAGGGGTGGGGGACTACCATCTCTCTATTCCTTTATACTTCTCATATTCATCAATTCAAAATACTGTCTTAATTACAAGTTACTCAAATTTACCAGAATCAGTTTGTATGTTTTTATTTCCAATCGGTTGTTAGGGATGTATGTATATGCTCACTAGCGCTCAGAAGACACTATTTTTTTAAAAAGAAAAATCATGCAACAATTATGTCAACCTTGTGTAGAATCTAGTATACGATAATTGGTTGGATAATTAGACCATGTAGCTATGGATTTACATTGAGATGAATGTAATAGGCCTTATCAGTGCACTAAATCTTACTGATAGTATGGCTTCTAAAATCTTCTGCTTCTGGTGCAGGGAGGTTGGATTTATGGACGCATATCTTTGTGTGTTTCCACTGTTCCCATAAGAAGTGAATTGGCTTTTGGCATGAGATTTCTACATGAAATATTTTCTTCAACCTCCTCTGCTATTCTATACACTCGATGTGGGGGATGAATATATTAGTTAGTGGTAATAAGAAAGATACGTGTTTTCCAGATTGTTTTTTAGTTGTCAAAAAGCTAGAGAAATAAAATTATTCTGTTTGCACTTCTTTTGTTAACAGTACATGCTAGCATTTTCTTAGTCCTCTGCTCAATCCAAGTATTTTTTTTTTTTTTTTTTGGGTTACTTGGAAACTATGTTTGATATTTTCTTTATTTTTCTAGCAAATCTTCACTCTTCATTGGAGGTGGGTATGATGCTAGATTACTAGGTAGGATTGGGGAAGATAAGGTTGAAAATTGGTTTGTATAAAACGGAGTTGAAATATGAATAAAATTTGATGCCTGAACAAGGACACGGGAGGCTGCTTAACCTTATGAAGTAAATGAACAGTGCAGGGCAACTTTAATGACTAAACATGGTAACAGTAAACACCATGTCAGCAAGATATGAATAGTTTGGGGGAAAATTAACTCTCAGATATTCATGTGCAAATGCACAAGTGATGTCTTCTTGGATTTAGGCCCAACACACTCCATATTGTATTCTTCTGTGGCACTGCTACAATCACGATCATTTAGTGCTTCCCAAGTCTTCAATTAAAGATCACTCCTTTGCAGACTCCAGAGTATTACTTGGTTGAAACTGTTTCTATGTTATGAAATCATTACCATCTTCTTGATTTTTGGGTTGCATCCTTTAATGCCTTGGCAGTTAGCAACAATGTGGGAAAACCGTGTTTCTATGTTTTTGACTCACTTCTCGGTACTTCTCTCCGTGTCACTGATTTTAGTCAAATTTCGCTGTTTTTGCGCTTTGATATTTGTCAGTGGCGGATTAGGGTTCTATCGGGGCATATGATAAGTAGTCTGCCCCAAGTGAGGATTGCTGAAATTCCAATTTGGTCCCTCTGTTTTCTGCATTCTGACTCACTGGCACTCGTAGTCTGGCTAAATATGGAATTGCCCATATTACTGTCAAATCCTTTAATTAAGCTTTCAGAACTCTTCAATTAAGTTCCTCAAGCTTTTGGATAGCGCCACCACTGGGGTCTCATCGGAGTGGCGACTCCGATCATCTTCACCCTTCTCAAAACTATTGAGAGTAAGGATTGCCTTGGATTTCTTTTTATCAAAAGGTGTCTCATTGAATCCAACAAATTTCTCATGCCTTTCAATGTGGGATGGTTTGTTTGTATACCTACAACTACTTTTTCTCAAGCAACCAACTACTTAGATAGCTATTCTCAATGGCTTGCATCTTAGATCTTTTGCAAACTATGATGGGGCTTGTATTTGATGCTATGTTCTAACCTAATGGGTGAGAGATTTTAACAATAGTTTGATTAACATCATATGTTAATTCTAATATTAATTCAATGAATGTTAAGGATTTTTACCCAATGGTGTAAGCGTGGTTTCCAATGGAGTATGACATAACAGCCGCAAACTGCCATCAGCCCCTTCTTCCTTAGTTTCTTGTCGTCATACTGAATTCATTAAAAAGAGCTCTCCTCATGGTATGTTAACTATGAGATTGTGTCTTAACCAATTCTTTTCAATATTTTTAAGGTGCAAGTGTTGCTCAAAATACCCTATATTCGTGTTTTTTTTTTTTTTTGGCTGTCAATCTGGGTGTCTTGGTAAATTGACTTTATAAACTGGCGTGGGGTTTTTGGAAGTTTAGTTCCAAGATAGACTTCTTGAAAGGGTTACAATTTTTAGCTTAAAATTCCTTGGGGCCAAATAATTATATTAAAGCCCCAACAATCTTGAGCATTGTTAAAGAAATCCCTAGTTCTACAACTCCCTTGTCGCAACAAATGCTTCAAAGGGTTTGGTTTTCAACATTGCTTTCCCTTTTCTGTGAATCTCCCTCTAGCCTCTGTTCCTTATCTATTTCTGGCCCAGTCGTCATAATCCATTTTGCCCGAACTCTCAGCAGCACCTCCCTTCCTCACTGTAGGGTTTCTAGGCCCAAATTGTCCCCTCTGAGAATTTGAAATTGAAAGGTGCTCCAACTTCGTCAAAAAAAAAAAAAAAAATCCTCCTAAAATTGGGTGTATGAAAAAACTCCAAAACTTTTGGACAAGTTTGGTGGCCAGATAGGGGCTTTGTTTGTGTCTCTTATAATAAAGGTTCTTTTTTTTCTCTTTCAAAAGTTTTGTTTCGGAGTTCTAAACTTTTAAAATAACAAAATGCATCCTGTATTTTTAAAAAAAGGGGGAAAAACCCTCATACCTGGGGATGGTCATAGGTAGATTTGGGGCCGGGAAGCTACACCTCCACCCCCACCACCTTGCAAGCCAAAGCATAAAGCGTTCTCTAGGTTCTATTCAAAATTTATATTTTAATAGATCTTGTTTAGTTTTTAAAAAATAATAAATAAAGGAGATGAGAAGGATGTAATTAACATTAAACTCGATTTTTTTATGTTATTTTTTAGAGTACTACTCTTATCTTTGATAAAAAATTATGTTATTTTTGAGAGTATTACTTTTATCTTTAATATATAAACACGTGGGATTTATTCTTGTGAGAGATAAGGAAAATGCCTACAAGAATAGTATAAAAAAAATCCATTATACATAGATGCAGTGACGTAGCCACCTTAAATTGGGGATGGATATATGTCCCTAAATATTTTACTAGCAAGTATATATATATATATTATAAGATTAGTATAAAATACATTTACTAATTTTAAAATTTTGTACCCACCAAAGGATGAGAATGTCCATAGTTCAATTTAGTTCAATTTAATATTCAAATTTAAATCAAATTATATTTTATGATTTGTGATTTTTAGAATTAAACCAAATCATGGTTCACAATTAATTTTGTTTCAATCATGATTTGTGTTTGCATAACATAATAGATTAAATTTATTATTTCTATAAAAATTTTGACAAAGTTTTATTAAAAATCGAATATCTAATTTTTTTTAATATGTTTAACTCAATAAATTCATTATATATCAATTAACTATAATAATCATATATTATATAACAAATATATTTATTCAGTTTAACAAAATTTTTCTTACACTAATAAAAATCATACTCTAAAAAAGAAAAATAATTAGTTATTCAAATAAATATAAATATAAAAGATAATAAAAAAATATACTATCAGATAATAAAATTATACTATACATATAAAGATAAAATTTTTATTTAGTATATATATAAATTATATAATTTAGTTCAGTTTATATAATTTATTTATATATTAAATATTAAAATAACTGTATAATTTTTTTTAAATCAAATTAAACCTTAATTTTATCGATTTAAATAATTTAATTTAATTTATTAAACACCCTTATTAAAGGATTTGTACTGAGTACTCTTAGTAGTCTTGGCTCCCCCACTCCATGGATGGAATGATAAAGATGGACTACCTTGGGCCGATTGCTGCCGCCGGATCTTGGATTGGCATTGCCAGAACTGCTGGATGTGTTGCTCACTTGGAGGGCAGGCTAGCAGCTGAGCTGCACGGAGGAAAACCCTAGTGGTCCCCGTTCTCCACATATATAACGTTATGATCTCTTGATAAGAGTCTATCTCATGTTAGGTGTTGTCATTGTAATAGTAGTCTAACACTCAATGATAACGTGTCATGTGTGCTCTCCACATATATAACATTATGGTTTCTTGATAAGAGTCTATCTTATGTTAGGTATTGTCACTATAACAGCACTTTAATATCCAATGATAACGTGTCATATGTGTTATTTTTTAAAATAAATTTATTTTATTTTTTACTTTTTAGATTTAAAAATGAAATACAAAATAATTTAATTTTTTTGTTTAAAAAATATTTTTTTTTGTTTGGTTAAATATAAA